TATTTTGATAACACAATTCAGCAAGTGAAACAGATTACTGAGATTAATTATGCTCAAGTTGATGTTTTCAAGTCTTAGTTTCTGTTAATTATGATGATTTTCCAGTTACAGCAATGAAAGCTTGACATTTTGTTCTTCTGTACAACATAAAAAGTAAAGAAATGTGACCTTATTGAATTATATGCTAAATACCAGCTCAAATGTTGTTTTCAAAATGTACTTTTAATCCGACAAACATGCATCAATTGATTGAATATGAACTCAAGTACCTTTTAGACCTTGAATGTGATAACATGTATCAGCTTAGAGGAGTATGAGTGGCCACACAATAAGCAACGAAAAGCCTCAGAAAACACCTGAAGTCTCACATGCTGAACAAATATTTTTAATGCAAAGAAATTGTCATACTTACACAGAGCTACCATTATGTTTGGATCTAAACATCTTTATATTGTTTAAATTAACATGTTACTTTGGTGCAAAAACGCTCCCTATTGGCAGAATCAATTGTAACACATGTGCCTTTAATAAGATATTAAAACGCTACACAATACTAAAATTTATATGACGTATAGATCTTTTTAAAACATTAAGCCAAAAAATAAATAAACAAATAATCATAAATGAATGACTAATGGACATTTCTGTTGGAATTTTCTAATTTCAAAGTACTCCGAAATCTATTTTCCTTTAATTTATTTAGAGAAATATATTACTAAAAATACACCTCGTGTTTGAAGTGGTTGTGTTCATGTTTCAAAATATTTGCGTTATAGCTTTTATTAGTTTGTGCAGTAAAATACTTTCGTGACATTTGTGTGTCGAATCTGCTGTGCGCGATCGCAGACAGCAGGGTAAAGATGGCGCTCCCTACAAAACAGTGAGTTACAAACAAGCTAACAAGGCTAAAGCTACGAGTGAATGTTTTTCTGGTTTAGAATAAATCAATTTGGTGTTGTTTCTGATATTGTTATTCTTGTAATGTTAATATAGGACTCACTGAATTATTAAAAATAGCAGATTTGTATTGCTGCTGTTTGAAAACAGTTAACGTTACGCTGCTAACCTACACCAGAGAGGTAGCTTTCGTTTACCATGACTTTTTAACGTCAGTTTTTATAAAAGTGTATTTCTTTTTAAACTAGTTAAAAGGTAACTTTTAACTGTAACCTAACTCGTGAATGTAATCGGAGAGGGTTAGTCCCATTTATACCCTAAAGCCACAAATCGTGTGCAAAACACAAATCTTTGATACGTTAGTGTTTAGCATGATGTCCATTGTGTGCTTGAATATTTCGTTAGTTTTGCAATTCGCAAAGTGCTTATAGTTTTAACTAGTGAACGTAAATATCTCCTAATACATCTGACTGTAGGAAAGAGCTTGGGCTGTTTGTGTACATTTATAGTTTGTGTATATATCCATTCCTCTGGTGCCAGTTTCTCCCAATTCCTTAATATGAACACACAAAAATGCACATTGTTTTTGGATTGTATCTTCACGTTTTTTCGTGAACAGTGCCCATAGCTGCAAAACTGAACGTTCTTCTCTTTAAAACTTGAAGATATTGTCACAAAGACATAGACTATTACTCAACCCATTATAGTTTCTCCTAACTATAATGTTTGAGTTCTTCATGAAGAAAGCAATGTTCACAATAAGTATGCTGTCTACAACATCTAAGATCATCGTCTTTTCTTAATACCGGTTGTTGTTTTATGATTAACCCTTAGAGTAAACACATACCACCAGACAGAGTTTAATAAACGCTGTTGTTGTCCTTCAGGTATGGGCTAATCTTGCCCCAGAAGAAAGGAGGCTCAAAAAACACAATTCTGCCAAAACACTCAGTTTTTGGAGATGACTCAGATGACGAAGTGGGTAAACATTTGAGTTTACTATGTGTCAGTAGCCAATGCTGGGGAAAACTTAATTTATTTCTACCAAACACCAAATGTCATGTTTCATTCTTCAGACGTCAGTTGGAGAGACTCTACAGAAAGAGGCTATCAAGAAGAAGATGATGAAACAGGTGGGAGAAATAAAATATTTGTTGGTTTTGTGAAGTGTCATTTCTCTGCAATTTGCTATTTTTCTGGAGTCTGTCCATTTTTCTTTGTTCCCTTTTTTTTGTTCAAAGACTCGTTTGGAGATGCAGAAGGCCCTGGAGCAGGACAGCACCGTTTACGACTACGATGCAGTCTACGATGACATGCAAAAGCAGAAACTCGAGAGCAGCAAGAAAGTCCTGACAGGAGCTGACAAAAGGGTAAATTCTCTTATGCTAAACGCTGTCTGATGCATGTAGCTGCTCTGATTATAACGGTTGTCTCATTTCGGTGTGGCTTAATAAAAAACAAACCACAAGCCTTAAGAGCACTTTTTTTTTTTTTTGCCTGTTTGTCATGTTACAGCCTAAATATATCCATCAATTAATGAAAGCGGTGGAGGAGCGAAAGAAAGAACAAGAGCGGAGAGATGAGCGGAAGATTCAGAAGGAGAGGGAGGCAGAGGGGGAGAAGTTTGCTGATAAAGAGGCCTACGTAACGTCGGCCTACAAGAAGAAGCTGGAGGAGCAGAAGGAGGAAGAGGAGAGAGAGAAAAGACAGGCAGAGATAGAAGGTTGGAATAATGCTTTCCATCTGCATTCGCACTGCACTTATTATATCACATTGTTCTGAGTTTAAATGAAACAAAGTTTGTGTCTTAGTTTAGTTCACTTATTGAGTTACAAGCTAATTACAGCAGCCCCTACACCTAATAGGACCAAAGGTAAAAATATATATAAATAAAAGTTATTTAAATGCCTTAAATTGATGTAATCTTTTATTGCAGTTGCACAACCCAAACATCTATTCTGTTTTTTTTCTGTCAACCCTCTGATGCGTGAGTGACTGACTATACAGTCTTCCGTGAGTGGGTCTTTCATATTTATGGAAGAGATGAAATGATTTATACATATTTGTTTTTTTCCATTTAGCTGCTCTGGACGTGAGGAAGCAGAAAGATCTGAGCGGCTTCTATCGACACCTGCTGAATCAGACTGTTGGAGAGGAGGAGATCCCAGATCGCTCAGCTAACAAGTTAGCTTAAGTTAAATTAAAGCACTATTATTTTTAAAGCTTCTGGTAATCTTAATCTCTCTTAATGTATTTTTTCACTCCATAGAAATCAACCTTCAGAATCATCAAAGGAAGCTGAGAGGACCTCGCCCGCTCCGTCCCCTCCAGCCCAGGAGAACATCCTCAGCTCAGGCAGCGACTCTGAGGAGGACCAAAAGCCAAAGACTGGATTTAATAAACCAGGTGGAGCCTCAGGTCACTCAAATCGTCAGTACAGGCAGAGGTCGCCTTCATCCGGGAGTGGAGAGGAGAAGGGAACAGAGAGGGACAGAGACAGACATAAGAAGAGCCACAGAGACAAAGACAGAGGGAGGGACAGAGACAGAGACAGACACCATGGAAGGGAAAGGGACGACAGACATGGAGACAGAAGAAGTGACCGGGACAGACGGAAGGATAGGGACAGAGACAGGGGTAGAGACGATGACAGAAGCAGAGGCAGAAGGGATTCGGAGAGGGAAGAAAGACATGGAAAGAGGGAAAGAAGTCCTAAAGAAAGGCATGGGAAGAGGGAGAGAAGTCCAAGAGAGAGGGAGAAGAATGGTGAGAAGGATAAAAGGAGGAATTCAGAAGAAGACAAACGGAGGGACAAAGATCAGGAGGAAGAGAAGGAGAGGAAGAAAGAGAGGGAAAAGGCAGGAGTGAATGAGGAAGATGCCGATGATGCAGAATCAGTCATGCAGGCCTCAAAGCAAAAAGATGACAAACAGGAAAAAGAGGGTGAGGAGGCAGAGGAAAAGGCTAACAAGTTTGCAAAGCGCAGCACCGAACAGACTGTGACTTCAGCGCGAGATCGCTACATGGCCCGACAGATGGCCCGCTCTGCAAATAAGACCTACATCGAGAAGGAGGAGGACTGACACCATGCATAACTCAAGAACATCTCTGCGTTTCACTCGACTTTCATCTGAGTTCATATGTTTAGAATAAGGTTGTAGTGTTTTCATAAAAAAAAACAAAAAAAACATTGAAACTTCAGTAAATACTCCTTTCACTCATAGTTTTTGAACCATCTAGTCTGCAGATTTGAGCACAAACTAAACACTTTATTTAACTTTTCAAAATACTGTAGAAATGAGTAAATATCCCTCAGAAGAGGAAAAAAATCCCCCTTCACATGAAAACACATTGTTGAAGAGTTTACAGGCCAAATGCAGGTTGAAATAAACTCAGGTCAGTAAAAAAAAGCCAACGGTACACATTGGGTAAAATCCAGTAAGTGTAGTGCTTTTTATGAGTTTTGTTTTATTCTCCTGGGTTCAGAACAGCCGCCATTAGCTATGAGAGAAGTTTAAGATATTTTACCAGGATGCAATTGGATGGATACTTGGGAAAAGTTTCGGTTTTTCATCTCTTCAGTGGGCAATGAGTTAATTAAATTTCTGGTTCAACCTTCTGCTGCCTGAATTATTTGTGTTTTGACGTTCACGTGTGTGAAAATGTGATGCAGAAACAGTTCTCTGCAATTATTGTACTGCAAAAAAACTAATCTTACCAAGAAATTTGAACACACTTGAAATAAAAACATCCAAGGTATTTTTTTATCAAGATAGAGGCTTGTTTTAATGGAATGATTCCTTGATATTGATGGCAAGGTACTTGATCCAATGACAGATTTTTTTCATTAAAATTTACTTAAAACAAGACTTATGTTCCTGAAGTTACTTTTAAGTTAATCTTCAAGTATATTTGCACTAGAAACTACTCCCTAAGTTACTTAAGTTTTTTTTTGTTTTTGCATTAAACATTGAAAAATGTTTAATATCCAAAGTATGTGTCAGTTATGGTGGTAATTTAATCACAGCTAGAGTGGAAAGATGCCAGTTTCAATACTTTTTAAAAAGGTGTGGATTTATGAACAGACTACAATGACAAGTCAGTTGAATCTTTAATATGAAACACCTATATTTATTCATTATGCAGCATTTTATCCAGACTGAACAGGCTCATACAAGAGCAACCTATATCAAGAAACCCAGAAGCAAATATTCATTACCTAAAAATATCAGCATTCAAGATGTTCCTGACAGTTCAGACATCACAGCTAAAAGGATTAGCAATACTGTCAATTAGCATTAGCAAGAATCCAAATGGCAGACTGTAGAATCAGGTTTGGTTGATGTCAATAGGGGTAGTCGGGTATTTTTCTCCAGACTTCACTTGCTCCATCACCTGAGAAAAGGGAGATCAGTTAATTTCAGATAGGCAGGAATCCCACAGCCGATGCACCAAAACAGGAAGTTGTTTTTAGCCTCTTTAATTCTTATGATGCAAAAACTCAATATTCCTGGAAGGAGAAACCTTCTGTACAAGACATTTTCCTGTTTCTCACATTACACTTTCATGTGATTGAATTAAATATATCTCTTACCACAGACGTGAACAAAGTGCGATAGTCCGCATGTCCGATCCTTAATAGGAAAAGAAAAAAAAAAGAAGTTAAGTCTCCCTAAAAACTCAAAGGAAGATTTGATGCTGCTATTCAAGATGTTCAGAAAACCAAGGGTCACCACTGTACAATCTGCCGGTAATTCCAGCATTTCTCAGTTTAGCTTTCATCACAACAATACAGCAAAGTAAAACACATTTTACACACAATGACTACCTTCTGATCCATGTGCTCAGGAGGCATCATCATCATCATCTGCAGGACAGAAAAGAAGAGTTAGAGCAGAAATATTCCTGCTGAGAAAATTCTGATCAATTTTAAACAACTCAGAAAACTGGATCAGAAAAATCATCAGTTATCGCATCTGACTAATGCTAATTGACTTCCTATTCCAGGTTTTCATCACTGATCAAATGATGCTCAGTATTAGGCTCTGACCAACCAAAGTCGATTTCTACTCCCTTTAATTCCATTAAGCTAAAACGCAGCACGTCTTAACCCTCCTGATGACAAAGAAAAAGATTTTCTGATGAATAATAGCTATAAAGGTGTTAAAACTTACCAAGATCTGCTTCAAATGAGAGACTCCATGTTTTTTGGAGGGAAATCCAATTTCAGTTAACTCGCCACCATGTTAGCACCTTTAAAGAAAATATGGAAATGAAATGTTAAATTGTGATCAATCAGTCAATCTGCCTCCATAAAATAAGTTACTGCTAATTAACGCTCAGAAACTAAGTGATCAACACTGAACAATCTGCCGGTAATTCCAGCTGTATTAGTTCAAGTTTCATCATAACAAAAGCAACAATTAAATTACACCAATTAAAGCTACGCAAGAAGAACGGACCTTCATCCCAACTCTGTCCTCCTCAGCTCCCAGGAACTGATAAATCTGGTAAAGGAAAAGCAATATTTTAATGAACGAATATAGTTAACAGCACAATGTAAACCCATCTGGGCTTGAAGCTCAGAACAGTGACAGAAACATCGTCAGTTGTCGCATCAGACGGCACTTCCTATTCACAGTTTTCATCACTGACAAAGTTCAACTAAAACAGCTGGAAGGATTTTGTTTTCATTTACCTTTCAGACAGAAAGTTGGGTCCAGACATGGCGGGTTGTTGAGTCAGTCAGAGTCATGGTCCCTGAAAGGAAGAGAAAGCTTTTAATAACCTGCAGCATAAAAGACACAATCAAACTGAGAATTCATTTAGAATAGGAAACTTGAGCAGTTCAAGAATTTAATCTTAAGTCACTGCAGTAAATCTCGTGCTAACGTCGTCCACCACGTGGCTCTCCGAGGCCCAATAAGCTACATTTTGCAGCAGCAACAAAAAACACGACGTTTATCCACACCCTGCTGCTAAAGCGACACGCAGCGACTATAAAGCATCTTGAATTTTATTTAGAAAAATTTTCTACCTTAAACAGTAAAGACTCCTCTGGTCTGACACCCGGAGAGAGCAGCAGCAGCAGAAAGGAAGGACCAGCAGTCGGAGCGCTTTATAAACCCAGACGTCGCTGTAATATGACGTCATCCTTGGAAACCAAAGGCGATGTGCGTTTAAAAAGTAAAAGGCCACTAGGGGGCGCTGTTGACACAACTTCCTCGCCTGTAGAGTGAGCGCATGTTCAGTCTTTATATGGAAAGTTTGCCTGTGTGGATTGTTGTTTCTGGAGACTGACCTCTTCATTATGAGCGCTTTGTTTTACTATATATCTCTGGAGTTATATCACATTCACAATACCACCTTTTAATCTGCTTCAGGTAAAGTTTTTTTTTCTTTTAGTGATTGCATTTCAATCCAAAGATCATTTTGGTTTCTTCTGTAGAGATTTAGATTTTTGCTGCCCAATCTGGTGATTCAACAAAACGGCTAGAAAGTTTTGACTGTGTTGAATTTTCTTGCATGTACAATGGATAAAATTGCTGTTATTTCTTTATTTGTTTATTTGAAAGGGGAAAAAAACACTCTTGTAGCAATTACCCACAAAAATGTCGGTTTTTATAAACAGAAAAATTGAATTAATCTGTCTAAATCCATCTGCACATCATTAAAGTAGTAATATGTTGAAACACCTTGCAAATTTGTCCAAATCTATCAGAGTTTGAGGAGATCTGTTGTCACAGATCTCTCCAGATAATCACATGGATTATCCATGGGACTCAGTTCTGCACCCTGGTTAAGCCATGAAAAACTTTTCGCTCATGATTCCAATCTTGTGTTGATTTCGATCAGAAATGCCTCTTGAACTTTATCAGATAGTTTTGGGTCAAAACTGGCTGTTCAGGATTTCACCAAACTTCACAAAAAGTACAACGTTAAAACATATTTTGGAGAGAACGTTTTGTTTTTGTGTTGAATGCATACCTTTTTTAGAAAATGAGGTCTAAAGCTCCATTTAGAGAATGTCATGGTCTTCCAGATAGTTTTATGAGATTTAAAACATCCTGTGACGGTTTCTTTGTCCAAAACTTTCTCCTTAAACACACGGAGAAAACAATGTTTTACAGAAATTCCTGCAGATTCTTCAGTGTAAATGTCAGGCTCCTGGCAGCCTCCCAGTTTGTCCAATTTCATTAATATTCCATGTTTTCTCAAGTTGTTTTCCCCAATATGACTTTCTGTGGATTTTTGTTGCTTCCCATGATCAAGGAGCTGATTTTGATCCTTTTTGCAAGCTATTGATTTAGAGAAAATATGACGAACATTAGACTAAATTGAACTTCAATTCAGGTAAAAGGGATTCATTTTATGAGTCTACCAGGAGTGTCAAACTCCAGTCCTCAAGAGTCGCTGTCCTGCAGTTTTTAGATGTGCCACAGGTACAAAGCGCTGGAATGAAACGGCTTAATTACCCCCTCCTTGTGTAGATCAGTTCTCCAGAGCCCTGCTAATTATCTTACTATTCTGTTCAGGTGTGGTGCAGCAGAGGCACATCTAAATATTGCAGGGCAGAGGGCTGCCAGGACTGCAGTGTGACACCTGTGGTCTAAACAAAGCAAACTGAAACTGTTACCTGCACTAAAATACGTCTCTTTGTGTCTCTTACAAAGTGGCAGTGATTCTCTCCAGGTTTTAAAATAAGTCTGGCAGGATGTTGCCTCCTGTGAAGAAGGATCATATCATCACTCACCTTCCAAAGGTTGGTAAACACAAATAATATTCCATAAAAACAAGAATTATTCAAAAATCCCTTAATTCTCATGGATAACTCAAATCTGGGAATGTACTTCCTGCACGTTTCTGCAAAAACACAATCTGAAGTTTTATCAGATTAGATAAAGGTAGTTATACGTTAAGAAGGAATTTAGACACAGTGGGGTAGTAAACAACAGAGGTTGAAGTCATTATTTATGGTTGACCATTTCTCTGTAATTATCTATCATTTTGCAACAAGTAGCTTGAAATGTTACCACATTACAAACGCAATCTTCAATGTGTTGAAGGGTGCCTTCAGTCTTGATCTGAGCACAAATCTGAAATCTTTGGGTGTAGATTGAATCAGCATTTCTTTTCATTTTCAGCCAGAAAAACTACTTTCATTCAATCTAAGTTTTTCTTCCGCTTTAGTGTTTTAGTCCAAATGCAGCTCTGCACACCAAAGATGGCTTCCACCCACAGGTGAGAGCTGCGTGCCAAGTTCAGAAGACGGATGGAGTGAGGTAAGATCCGTTTTTATGGTCTCTTCACTGAGATATGTGTTGGAGATAAATGAATTAGCTCTGGTTTGGGCCGTGAAGTTACGCTAAAGTGTGTCTCAGGGATCAGCTGATAGACATCTGCAAAGCCTCCATATCTGACAATATAATTCTGAAGAACAGGAGAAGGCTGAAGATTTCTTTTAGGAAAAAAGAGGCAAAATAAAATTACCACATACAAAAGAAGACACTGATAGAGGAGTAATTGGAGCATTAGATTAGATGATTGTGTGAAATCAACCTTCAGAGTAATTTTCCAGTATAATGTAAAATCAAACCATGCATGGTTCCTGTTAACACCCAGTTATTAAATGTTCTTACATAAATGTAGAAACACATCACCAAAATGTGACAAATGTCCAACAATTTTTATGACTTGTGTCATAAAAATTGCAGATGCTTGTTTTTATTTTTTGAAAATAAGACAAATATGACTTAATTACACATTTAATGTCAGTCCTTTGAGATATTTAAACCAGTTGCATCGTTTTTCAGAAACCTATTAACTAAAGAATTTGTGTTAATAAATCCCTCTGTGGAACGGTTTGCATGAAATACAATTTCACAAATTCATTCTGAACTCATTAACATTGAATTGCAAATATTGTAGATTTGACAAACTTTTCCATTTTCTGTAGTTGAAATTTTTATGCAAAAATCTGATCGTTTACAAAGTTAAATGTATTTTCTAACACTTCTGGTTTTCTGCTTTCAGCTTTAATATCGCCAAAGTCATTGTTGTGGGAGACGTTTCTGTTGGGAAAACCTGTTTAATCAGCAGGTGAGGCGAAGTTTACGAAGCTACAGAACAAACTAGTTTATAATCAAATTGCAATAAATATTGTGCACAATATTTATTGCAATAAATTGCAATAAATATTGTGTATCCATTCACACATTATAACCGCAAACTTCAAGGAATTATATTGAAATTTTATGTGAAGTGGAAAGGAAAATACTGATGCTTTTTAATGTCTAAGCTGCATAAGGTGCATTATTATTATTATTTTCAGCCCTAATTTATATTCACTATTCATACCCTCCAGATTTTTATTTAAAAAAAAAACTGAACATTTTTCTTCCACTTAACTGTCAGAGTACTTTTTATTTATTTAATAAATAATAAATGAATGAAAAAACTTATTTTTTAATAGAGTCCTAGACAGGACGCAACAACAAATAAATAAAATGCATGTCAAAGAACCGGCCACGAACATTTAGTTTAAATTTAAAAGCACTAAGCAGGATTAATTATGTCAATCTAAAAGTTTCTTGTAACAAACTTCATAAATATAAAACAGTCAATGAAAACCCAATTAGCTCAAACAAAAGGGGAAAATTGTCAACATTATGGACCACATTGTGTTGGGCTGTTGCATAAAATCCTAATGAAAAATGTGAGAAAGGGAACTTCTGAAAGACGGCTTTTCCTCAAACATGGTAAATTTTAAGCAATTTTTCAAACAAAATTAAAACAAGTTCTCTGTAATAAGCATTATTCTGGAAGAGAGACTTTAATCTCATAACATTTATAACTTAATTGGCTCTAGATAGTTTTATCACTGTTGTCTCACTCCTTACTGTGAGCTCTGTGTCATTAATTCATCAAAATTATTAGCCTTCGTGTTGATACAGAAAAACACACATTGCTATTTTTTGATTCTCAAATGTTTTTAATGCTTTTATTTGCAAAGTTCTGAGTTTTCCTGGTTTCTTCTTCAGGTTCTGCAGAGGAGCGTTCGACAGAAACTACAAAGCCACCATCGGGGTGGACTTTGAGATGGAGCGCTTCGAGGTGCTTGGCGTTCCCTTCAGTTTGCAGCTGTAAGTCCTGAAATGGCAACAGATTGAGCCACATCTGTGGTCATGCATCTCAAAGAAATGTGTGACCTCACTTTTAATTTATTTTATAATTGGATAAATATGAGATTCTAACAATTTAGATTGTTGACTTTGACCCACATTCCCTTCAATGTGTTGATTTAGTGTGACTTTAAGATGCCAGTGTGCATGCTTTTATTTTGAAAGTGTGTTTTCCAGGTGGGATACAGCAGGTCAGGAGCACTTCAAGTGCATCGCCTCAACATATTACAGAGGAGCACAAGGTGAGTGCTGCAATAATCCTGATTTGAACTGAGCTGAGTTGTATCTAATCAAACTGTGTCCCCAGCCATCATGGTGGTGTTTGACCTGAGCAGTGTGAACTCATTAGCGCATGCCAGGTATGCAGCATCACAGTGTTTTAAAATATTTCCTTCTCTTTCTGCATCTAAAAATGTGGATTTGTGTGTGCAGAGAGTGGCTGGAGGACGCCATGAAGGAAAATGACCCGTCCAGTGTTTTACTGTTCCTTGTCGGGACCAAGAAAGACCTGAGTGTGGGTGAAACTAAGGAAAGAGATGCTGTGAACGGAGATTAGAGCTGAACCATGTGATTAGCTAACAGATCAGTCAAGATGGAGCAAATGATGTCGTTTGATGTCTTTGATGAAAATCAATATGCAACAGATCTAAGTCTGAAAGATTGCATGTGTGTTATTGATAAAATAATCAGTTGGACAAATGTTGAGACTTTGAATACACAAAAAAATTGTCAAACCCACATCTCACATTTTCTAGAAAAATGTTGAAAGATTGTTTTTAAAAAACTTGTGGAGTTACATCTGGGTTAAGTATTTCAAATGTGGGAGTTTGGTTAGATAAATGCTTTTATGGGGTCTAGTTAAAGTCTGAATTGCAAAGATTTATTTCCGGTTGTAGAAACTTCTTTATTACAATTTAAAGCAATGTTAACAGGGAATTACCTTCTCACTTACAGCCAGATTGATTAAATTATAATTTCATTTTAATTTTAACATAAGTTTCTTGCACTGAAGTAAATCTGTAAATGTTGCCTCGTTTAAAGACTTTTTCGGAATCATGAGCTGAAAAAGAGAAGTGAACTAAGACACTAAATGTTCTACCAATCCTAAGTTGATTGATTATTTGTCTTGAAAGATGTAAGTAATAATCTATTTCTCTATTTTAGTCTCCTGATCAGTTGGCTGAGACCGAACTGGAAGCTATCAGACTATCAGAGGAAATCAAAGCGGAGTACTGGGCCGTGTCTGCAAAGTCAGGTGGGCAATAAAGTAGTTCCAATCAGACCAGTAAGCCTGGATCTGAATCATTTGATTTCTTTTGTTGTTTCAGGAGACGGAATCAGGGATCTTTTCCTTCGTGTGGCTTCTTTGACTTTTGAGGCGAATGTTTTGGCTGAGCTCGAGAGAAGTGGGTCGAGACACGTCAGAGACATAATCAGTGAGTTCAGTTAGCTGCTGTCTGCCTGTCGTCTCATGAAGAGTTTAAAGAAATGTCTTTTTATGCAGCTAAAAGAAATTATTTAAATCATTAGTTTAATGCCGATGAAGTCCTAACTGGGGAAAAGTCGCATCAGGATCACAAGCCTGAGTGTCTTTTATTGGGGTTTTATGCGACAGACCAGCAGAAAGTGGTGCGTGACTGAAGAAGAAGAAAAAGGACTCACTGTTTTCAAAGATTTATTGACCGAAATCCCCAAAAACTGTCTTCCCTCCCAGCATCAGTCCTGTGAAGAACTCTCTCTTTTTGCATAAATTTACTGTCTTTGCAAAGTTGCTTAAGCTCAGTCAGATTAAACATCTGTATATTTAGTTATAATGCATGTTTATATCTTTAACTTTAAACTCTAAAGTGGAAGATATTTTAAATATTTAAAATAAAATGATAAATGAGCTAAAAAAATATGAATCATCAGTTTGGAAATGATGTATTATTTTAGGTTTGAAGTCATTTTCTTCCCCTTTAGTCATACATTACTTTCTGTTGGTCCATTGAATAACATCCATTATTCTTTCTGTTTCCTGTGCAGCTAATTGTTTTTCATCTGTCTGTTGTCAGTAACCTGGCATTAACATGCATGCAGCAGAAAAACAAATTCTTGATTTGCTACATTTGATATTTGTGAGAAATCTGAAGATTTTCTGACGTGTATTTCTGTTGCACACAGGAATCACAGACAGCTCAGAAGCCAATCATAAACAAAAGAAGACCAACTGTTGTTGAGAAAGCCTGATCTCACTGGTGCAGCCACACGGTTACTGGAGCCAAACTGGTGTGGATCCCCTGAGCTGGGCTGTGTCTGCAGCATCCAGGAAAACACCTGAGAAAATATTTGCCATCATCCAAGTAGCTCCAACATAATGCCTCCAATTGAGCCTGTAAATAAGCCTATTAGCAGAATGACTCAAGCTGTGTGTTTCTCAGGAATGTTTAGTGCTGACCAGATCTGCAACAAGTAATTCTTTGTATTCTGGATTATAAAGATAATTTCCCAAAACTGTAGCAGCTTTTCACAAGAACATCGTCTGTGAGAACCTACATTTCATCCCGTTAGGAGAGGATTTGTCTGAATATCATCCTCTGTATCTTTTCCTCCCTGCTGACTTCTGGTCATGTGTCTCTGCTCTTGCTAATGTGATGCATACATCGGATCAAATGACCACCGTCATTCCCATCATGCCTCTCTCCGGTCCGACACAAGCGCTCATATGATCTGGGAGTGGAAGGATTGTTTGGTGGGAGAGTCCTAGAAAGTGGAAAGGACAGCTTCATCTTCATAAACTGTTCTGCTGGACATTTAATCCCAAAATGATTCAAACTCCTGGTTGATTTAGAGGTTGAAAGGCCTCCTTGCCATTACCTTAATCAAGTCAAGTTTCTCACCCAGGCTTTGACTGAGCCCCTCCAATGTTAACATTTCTTCCAGGCAGAGGAAACATTCAGGTAAAATTATTACATTAACTCATAAAACACAGTATGAATAATTTTGGGCTTAAACGGATATCTTTGGAGAAAGTATTGAAATGTTTTTGTAATTCATTGAACACTTAAAAATGTAAGTTAATAAATCACTTGATAATAAAATGTCAGATTTAAAGCTTTATAGGTTTTTGACAGAAATAAAGGCATGGAAAAGTATATATTTAATATCTCTTTATGCCAGAGATATTAAAGGGGAAAATGTTATGTTATCCTTTCCCCCAGTCAGTCCCTCCAGACTAGCGGCAGCAAGAATGGATCTCGGAGCTAATTATAGGAGCTACTTCTCAATCCAACGCAGGTTAAAATATTGCTAAAGGCTTAATGGAGAAACATTGTTGTATTGGAAAGAGTAAGAGCTTCTTAAAGAGACAGAACCCCAATTTTAAGACAACTTTGATGTTGTGTTGAAAAAAATGGAACTTTGTGCCTGGAAAATACATTACAATTTTATTTCAACTCATTGGTTTTATGCTGAGAATTACTAACGGCAATAATAAGTTAATATTTGCAAACCCCAAGAATCAAGTGTGTTTGCTCTTCTGATATTTTATTTCCATTTCTGGTTTCATGAAAGGATCACCAAATACTTTACAGTTAAAACGGTTGCACCAAACATATTGATACTTTAATCCCATCTCCATAGGTTCTGTGTTTTTAATTAGGCATGAACAAGACAAAGAGTTTACTATGAACACTTTTATTAAAGAGATACCAGGTAGAAAAGGTCATCAGAAGAATCAGAGACGACATTTCTCTACCAGAACCAACTGCTGCTGACAACCAACCAGTCCCTCAGGTTCAGCATCGTAACCTGGCAGCTCAAACCAAGTCTGCTTACTTAAAAACATTATTTTAAAAGAAAATGCATCTCATGAAACCATGATACGTTGCGCAACGCAGATTTAAGCACACCATTACAAACCAGTGCTGCTTGCTTGTCCTGTGGGACACAGACATGAGTCAAGAGGGAAGCAGAGCGGCCTTGAAATGCCAAAAAGACGATCACAGAATGTGTTTATTTTATATTATATCCATTCTACTGAAATAAATGCGTGCAGCTCGGAATACTACAGAACATGAACAGAGTTGGCAGGACTCTGTCTGATCAGATCTTCTTCCAGTAGTGTTGCAAAAACTAAACCATGCACTGAAGCGTGGCAAATTCACAGCTGCAGGTGTGAAACATTTTGCTGATACTCTCATGACAAGTTAGAGTGGTAAACGCAACTCCAGGTAAAGTGAAACCAGAAACATTTAAAATGCATCGAGTTTGGATAAACTTGAAGATGTGTCACTGACAAAGCTAGGATTTTGTCAAACATCTCAGTTTCCTATAAAAATATTAACAACTTTTAAAACAAAAAGGTAACTAAGGGGAGCCAGTTTCCATTGAGGCATGTTGCTCATGTTCACATCAGGGGATTTCTGCCAGGGCCCAAAGTCAGCTGATCATAACACAATTAGCATTAGCCCATGTCTGTCCTTTAGAAACCCCACTCCGCTAACTCGCTATCAGCCTGTACAGTTAAGTTTGTGTTTATTTTGACAGATGTGACGAGCAGTCTTAAAATTCAAAGAAAAAAAGAAGTCTTTATTCATACTGACGCATTTCCGTACAAATATTAAATTTCCTGATTGGCTTGGCAAAGCGTTGTTTTGGCAACTGCTTTCAAAACTCCACAAATGTCAACGCTTCCCTTCTGCCAAAACCGCTCAAAGATCAAACTAAAAGCAGAACCAAAGATAGGACAGCTTGTCTGTCAGTGTCTGTGCAGGTCCATTTCCCAAATGTAACTGAAACTTCAAGTATTTCTTTTTTTTATATATATATATATATATATATATATATATATATATATCTTTGTACTACTTTTCTGCATGACATGCAAAAACGCTTTGCAGCCAGAGGAGATTGGCAAAAGGAGAGGACATAAAACACCTGTGATGAGATGACAGCAGGAAAAGAGGTGGCATGAATGTTGACACCATGTCGACTGCTGGATGAATACCTGAACGGAATAAAGGGTGAAAGGTTATCCAGGTGAGGCAGTATAAAGGATGAAGTAGAGGGGGTGAGGGGGTGCAGCAATGCCCCCCTCTGTGTCCTATCGGTCCATTTCGTCCAGCAGGGGCGTGGCGTCTCCGGCGAGCGACATGGGCGTGCTCTCGATCATGGGGCTGGGCGAAGGGCGCGGCGTCATCCTCTGGGTCTTCTTCCTGTCCTCTGCTTCTTTCTCCTTCAGCCACTGTTCGGCCATCTTGCCCCAGTCGACCGCCGAGGAGGAGGCGCTGCTGCTCGGCCTACAGAGGGAAGAGAGAGAGGGATGTCATGATTGTAGGTTCCCCACCGCCACCTAGTGGCAGAACACCAACACAGTCAGAAAAACATCAGTTCAGAACAGGGGCGCAAGGTATTGATTAATGATTTAATATAAAGTGATTAATGATTAGTCGCCAAGCAGCTATTTTCTAAAAAAAACCTGAGTTTTCTCTTGAATGAAGACGGCCGAAGACGGCGTGTACATGTGAGTAATTTCTTGGACAGCTACTTTTTACTTGTACTTGAGTAAACAAATGTTGAAGTGGTGCTACTCCTAGATGACTACTTATTAATTAATCAGTTGGGACTCATTTTAATCTAACAAATCATTAATTGACAATCACTGATTAACTGTTGAGAACAAAATAAGTGTTTCAGGAGATGAGCTCACTTTGGCTGCGGCGGCGTCGGCTGTTGCTGCTGCGGCGTTCCTCTGCGGGACGAGGAGGAGGACGACGGCGTGCCGGAGGCGTGGCCGTGGTGGCTGCTGGGAGCGCCGTGATGGCTGGGATGCGGCAGGTGCGGGTGGGCGTGTACGTGTGAGGACTGCGGGGTGGAGCCCGGATACTGAGGGGTGCCGATGGGCTGCTGGCTCGGCGTTGTGTAGGAGTAACTGGGCGTCATCATGGGCGTCGCCATGGGCTGCTGTGGTGTAGCAAACACCTGCGAGGAACGAATAGCTCAGAGTTAAATCCTTTGATACGTATGGCTGAAGTGCAGCTGTAATCATCTCAAAATGTCTCGGCTTCAGTGTGTTACAACGTCTTAGCTTCAACAACTGATCACTGATGTCTTGCTGCTAATGTTTCACTTACTCTTGGTAATTCTGTACATAAACAGAAGGTGACATTATCCTGAGCTGCAGCGATTTTCTCTAAGCCTCCTGTTCACTAATACCACAAGAGCTCAGGTCGTCTTGTATCTTTCATCATCACAAATAGACCGCTGCGTCCTCTAGAAACCATGAAATGAAGCTTTATTCGTTCTGCTTTAAGCCCCAACAGTTACATGATAAGCAGAGGAGCTGCCTCCCCCTCCTCCTGTGCTGCCGCCGTAGCCGTACTGGCTGGAGCCCCACTGTGCAGGGGTGGCGTTGGGGTTCTGGCCCTGGCCCGTCACCGCGGCGATGGCATTGAACATCTGGGAAGTCATGTTGCGTGGGAGGGCGTTGACGGCTCGCGTCAAGTCTGAGGAGGGATGAGGGACAGAGTTCAGACACTTATTGTGAAATTCACTCACTTTGTAAGGACTTTAAGCTTTTCCAGCTTTGGAGAAAATACAACTGAGTTATTCACTATGATTTTATTTATTACTGTTTTGTCATAGTACTCTACATTCTAGGGTAAATAAAAATAAATAAAAGTTCTGAAAAGTCTATTTCACTTTTCTAGTACTACTAGTTCAGTCAAACTTAGTTCTGACTAAATTAAGAACTAATTCAATAAAATCCTGTAATTTTAATAACGTTGTTTAACTATAACCCAACTTTTATTACACAAATCAGTTGAGCCATTAGAAATAATAGATATTCATGAGGTTACAATAAACAACCTTCCTGCTCAAATTAAAAACTTAGAACTTAGTATTTAAAGTTACAAAAAGAAAATCAAGCTTCTATTTAATCTGCTAGTTCTAACTGTCAAAACAAGAGAAGACTGATTGAACTCGAGAAAGTGTTATGAAAAATGTATCCAACTTTTTATTATTGGGTGTATGAAAATATTGTTTCCAAATTTAGGATTCTAATCAAACTGTACAGTTTGAATATCAAGCACTTTCAAGGACTTTACGCAGAAATCAAGCACTTTCCAACCCCGGAAAACATTTTCAAGGATTTCAAGCAGCTGCATGAACCCTGGAGGGAATATGTTGCGATAAAAAACGCAGCGGGATTTTAGTGTGGACGGACTCTGGACTCACCTGCAATGTTAATATTGGCTGGCGTTGCGTTTAGAGATGCAGGGGTTCTGGTTCTGCTGCTGTTGGTGGGAGTAATACCTTTGAAGGAGGAGAAAAAGTCAGACCTCTGTGATGCTTTCAACGGATTTATGAGGCTCTTACAGTGGAAGTTATTGCTTCAGTACCTGGCACTGGCTCCTGATAGTGGTCCTTAAACCATCGAAAGAGTCCATTCACTGTGGGAAAGATCTGGGAACGGTAGCGGAAACCATCTGGGGTGATGGTCACATACTCAACCCTACAGGCAGAAGGGAAAAACAACACTTAGCTTTAACACAGTTTATTTTTTGCAAGGTTTTTTTCATTTTGTTTTCCTTCTGCTTAAATTAAAATAGTTCAGATTATTGTTTTATTTCTTTTTACTAAAAGATGACTTTCTTTAGAGGTTCAGTAAAGTTAAAAGCTGCTTTCTGCCTGACGTTCTGTGGAGGATGGTGGTTTGTTATGTCCAAAGAATCTACCTCAAACAGTAACTTTTCATCAAAATCTGTTCGTGTCTAAAAAAAAATTCAGTGTTATTTGTAAAATCATTTCTCTAAGCCATTATTACAACAAGAAGTTTAACCTACCGAGGTTTTCCACGAGGCTGGTAGCCCAAAATAAACTTTCCTGGCAGGTCTTTGCAGGCTGAAATGAAGTAAGGAATGAAAGTCGGCTTCTCTCGCTTCGTCCTGATCAATAGTTCCTCCATTTTCTATCAAAGACAGAACAAAACAAACGGCGTGAGAAGACAGAGGACTATAAATAAGTGACAATCTAAAGACAATAGTAAAAAAAAATCAATGTATACCTCCTTATTTCCTCCGTTGCAATCCTGGAAGTATTTATGTCCCAACAGATCTCGTGCAAACGAGGCCATCGGCTGAATGTACCGAGCTGTAATTTCATCTAGATCTTCAAATTCCTGCAGAGCGGTACAAGAAGTTGTCTTTAAAACACGTGGCAAAATATTTCTAAACGTTAAATGTGAAGTAAAATAACTCACTTCAGTGTTTATCCAGAGTGTGTGGCCCAAGCTGAAAGCATTTTCTTTGCCTTCTTCCCTCACATCCACATGCTGGTAGATGCCATCAGCCACCTAATAAAACACAAACACGGAGAATGGAGACAAATTAAACAAGAATGATTAATAAAAGTAATCCAAAGCATAGTTTATTTTGTTTACCAGCTGAATTATTTCCCCATCCCCATGTTCCCGTCTGACTCGCTTACTTTCCAGGTGACGGTCAGATGGTTCTCCCCTTTGCTGCTGGGCCTGATGATCAGGTCTCCCTGGTCCAGCGTCTCCATCATTTTCTCTGCT